TCCAACAGATCCTTTCTAAGTCAAGGAACATGTTGAAGATCTCTGAGCGCGGTGATTTAAGAATGCGATTAACAAAAATGGTTCCAGACATTAAGAAATTGGCATCAACTCACCAAGCACAAGGCAGCCATTGATGTTCTTTTTTTTTTTTTTTTGCTTTTTGTGTACATACATTTTTTTCATTAATAATTGTCTGAGCTTTTATCGTTGTATTTGCTTTGTTTTCAAATTTTTGTTGTGCTCTGTAAACATTTTGTGTGTTTCTTTGTATTGTACTTTTTTAGCGTGCACTCCAGTTCGATATTATATTTTCTTTGTGTCTTTTTAATCCTTCTTACAGTGTGCGTGACTATATATACTTTCCTCAAATCTTAATTTAGTTTCAGGGTTTTCGTCTTGAAATTCTTAGTTCCTGCATCGTGGTTTGTTCTTATGCCCTTTTTATATTTCTTTTTGCATCTTAAATTTCACTTGTAATTCAATCATTAAATGTTACTGTTGTTGGGGGGGCATTTCACTTTCTTGCAATTGAATTTTGTTTTCAGTGATCATTACATTTAAGTGTCTTGAATAAATAAGATAATAATGAAATACATGTATCACGAAGTTTGGGAATAGTGATGGATGGCACCAAAAATTTTCACACAGTTGAGATATGGGAAAAAGACTGGAAATAAATTATTTGCATTGATATGTCCTGATGACAATTTTAAAGAAAACAAAAAAAGTGTTTGCATAAATTGAAGAATTATTTCCTATGTTGTGATTGAGAGGTTATGTTAGGGGAGGGGGGTGATGACAACTTCCACATTGGCTCAAGGGGGCGATTCGTTCAAAAAGGTTAAGAACCACTGCACTAGGTCTCCGAGGTCCCTCTCACAGTCACTACTATTGAGCAAGGTACCCCTATACTATACCTGTATTTGTTTCTTTTCTTTATTCTTTTTGGCAACATATGTTATAGCCAAACCTCTAAAATATGCTTTTGCCTGTCCCATACATTTTGAATACAGGTTTCTTCTTTTTTATTGATGTTTTAAAAAATTCCATTTCTTTTGTTGCTAATTGTAAAAATTCTTTTTCTTTCAATATAGATTTATTCAACAGCCATCTTATTTTTTCCTAGATCCTTTTCAAGTCATTTTAATTGGATTATGATCTGCCCAAATATTTGGTTCTATTTCAACCTCTTGTATCATAGTCTTCAAATCATAAGAAGTCCATATCATGTCGATTCTTGACCATGATTTATGCCTATTTGAGTAAAAAGTATATTGTGCTTTTTCTGGATTCATCTCTCTCCATATATCCTGTATACAAAGTTCATCTTTCATTTTTTAAAAAGGCTTAGGTAAAATATTTCTCCCTTTTTTCCCTTGTTTGTAGCTTTTGTAGTCTCGTACTGCATTAGCAATTGCACTAAAATCTCCAAGTATACAAAGGTTATGATAATTTAAATCCACTAATTTGTCATATAATTGCTGAAAAAATTGATTTTGTTTCTCATTGGGAGCATATATTGCAATCATCAATATTTGTTTTTGATTCCACGTAATTTCCACCATTAATATTCTCCCCTCTTCATCAACATAAATTTGTTTTGGGTTCATCTTTTCTTTCATATAGAAAGCTATCCCTCTTTTCTTTTGTAACGCCAAAGAAAAATAAAGTTTACCTAATTTTGGTTGTTCTAAAATTCTAGAATGTTGTCTCTTAATATGTGTCTCTTGAAGACAAATTATGTCCATTTTCAACTTTTGTAACCTATGAAATGTTTTACTCCTTTTTGATGGGGAGTTGTGACCATTTATGTTTATTGAAAAAATTCCAATTTCCTCCATAATTTCAATTATATCGAGACCTCAGTCTTCTGGGAGAGCTTATCTGTCTCTGGTTTTTGGGTCTAACATCTTCCTCTAGTTGAGTTTTTTTAGGTACTTCCTCCTCCGTTTGCTTTGATGCTTCTGCAGCAGTCATTTCCTCTGGTTTCTTAGGCTCAACATCGCCTTTTTCCAGAAAAGCTCTAAGTTATTGAAAAATTCCTCTGCTTGAGCTGGAGTATCCAGTCTATAACTTTTCGAGTCCCAAAAGATTAATAATCCTTCTGGGATCAACCATCTAAAATTCACTCCTCTGTTAACCAATTTCCTTGCTAAAAACTGATATTCTCTTCGGGCTTCTCTTATTCTTCTGGGAATCTGTTTAAGAACTACAAGTTCTTTGTCTTTATATTTCAGTGGTTGATCCCTTACTGCTCTCAAGATCTCATCTCGTATGGCTCTTTTAAGGAATCTGACGTGAACCTCCCTAGGGACTCTATTTCTTCTTGCGTAGTTTGAATTGACTCTAAAAACCTGATCCAATTCTCATTTCATTTTGTCCATTTCCATTCCAAGTAGATCCACCAATAGCTCACTCATCAGTTCTAACAGGTTCTCATCCTTCTTCTATCATATTTTGAAATCTTAGAAAGTATGATGCCCTTTCCATCTCCATGATGGCCATGCTGTCCTCCAGTTCCGCGTTGGTTTGATTTTCATCTTGCAGAGCTTCTAATTTTTGGTCAATTAGTCTTTCTCCCCTATACCCAGGTTGGACAACCGATTTGCACGTCAGGACCGCTACGGACCTCCACCAGAGTTTCCTCTGGCTTCGCTCTGCCCATGCATAGTTCACCATCTTTCGGGTCCTAGCACGCGCGCTCATGCTCCACCTCCCCGACAGGGCAGGTGAGACGGGCCGGTGGTGCGCCCTCTGCTCGGAGGCCTCGGGATTTCTCTGTACTCTTCAGCAAACTTTGTTTCTTTAAATATTCAACTATTTTCTCCACAGAAATTTACATAAATTGGAATAATATTGATGAAATACTTTTTCACAGCCAGATTATCTTTTATTAAGCATCTCTTTTTGTAATTTTAATATTTGTTCTTTTTCAAGACTGTATACCAATCACTTCTCTAGTTTATTTGCAAACTTTATTTGCATTTTTTTGTTTTGCATAATTTATTTTTATTCTATTTCTCTTAATGTTATTATAGATAATTATACCTATGGAAGCATAATTTGTTGAGAAATATTTATCTTGTCTGGAAAATTCTTTAATTCCTCATTTTTTTTATCTCATCCAAAATAATTTGTGTTTTCTCTTGCCTTTTCTTTTTGAATTCACTATTCATTATCATTTTAGCCATTCTCCGTTCACTGCATGATGAAGGCCTCTTCTTCTTGTTTCCAACCTAAGCAGTCCTGAGCTTCCTTTTGCCAGTTGGGCCCTCAATCTTGCTGATGTCATTGATCCATCTTGTTTTAGGGCTCTTTCATGGACACTTTTTATCAAGTGGGATCCATTCTTTGACCACCTTGGTCCACCTGCCATCAGTTCTTCTTGCTATGTGACCAGTCCATTTCCATTTCAATTCTTTTACTGTCATGATGATATTATATACTTTCATTTGTCACAATCGATACAAAAACTACATGTGGCACAAAGAGCCATGGAAAGATACATGCTTGGCATTACAAGATAGAAAGACCTGCATATGGATTAGAAAATTCACTATTAAGTCATATGAAGTAATAATTCATGAAAGCTTTGTTTGTATCCCAAACCATTCTTACATCTGTACCTTTATAAGATTATTTTCAAAAACCTCTTTTAATTTTTTACTATCCTCCACTATTGTTTCTTTCCACAACAGAATTTCATTTAATTTCCATCTGAAAAAAACTGGATTTCCATTTAAAAATTACTTTATTATGATCTGTAAAGGTCTTTCATGATATCCCTACTTTATGAGCCTTAGATCAGTTTTCTCCATCCACCTTTCACTGAGCTGAGAGCTCCTCCCATTTGACTGGCATGTGGAGATTGCGCTGCAAATGTGCTTTTTTTCTTCTTCTGTTTGTTATGTACTCCTGGCTACTTTCCTTTGTGACCAGAAACAAGCTCGCCTGACCAATAACCAGTCAAGACACAGTGAAAGCCTTTTGTTTCATTTATTGCAATAAGCGGGGAGAGAAGCTATCAAAGCTTGGTTCTCTCCAAAGTTCCAAACCAAAATATTCCTTTCTTTATACAACCCAGCTGCCACATCCCTCCTCATTCCCCATTGGCTCAGGTACTATGAGGTACTGACTCTTCCTGACTGCCTCCCACATATTTTCTGCTACATACTAAATCATACATCACATCTACATTAAATTAGGAGATAATTTATGCAAGGTGTATCAAATAATATTCATCAGCTATTAGGCATGCTCAGTTGTCTGTTTTGAGTTCTGGGCCCTTTTTTATGGCTCCTTAGAACAATAAGGTCTTTCCTCTTTTTCAGTTCAGTTTGCCTTTCTGGTTATTCCATTCAGTTATCTTTCCTGTTATCCCAGTTAATTTTCCCTGACTACCCATGCTGTAAAAACAGCTGTTTTTACAGCATGTATTTTTCCTTTTCCCACTCCGAAGACCCAGCTAATGTTTGCCTATGTATCTCTCTTACATCCTGTCTTTATACTATTTCTTGTTCACATCCATTGTAGTTTCTTTGAGAGGCTTGTTTCTCCACCCTGTAAGTTTCCATTACATACCAGATTCAATTTTACATGTTTCTTTCAATATTAAATTTTGAAGACCATTCACTTAATCCTATGATGTTCAATCTTGCTTGCTTTCCTGTAATTTATTGGTGAGGTTTTTTTCAGAAGTGGTTTGCGGTTGTGTCCTTGATCAGCCCAAGATCATCCAGCTTTCTATCTAAAGTGGAAATAGAATTCAACCTCTCAGTTTCTTAACACCAAACTGGCTCTGTGCAAAAGTGCTAGAACTGCATTAAAATATCATCATACTAATGTTAAATAGTCTGTTAGAGTCAGGCAGCATCAAACTGAATAAATAAATACGGTAATTAAATGTTAGTATTATAATATCTTTCAGTTTAACATATTTAACACAGGCGCATGCGCATGCGGGTTTTGGTTTGTTTTTTGTTTTTTATTTTTTTTTGCAGGACAACGGCGCTGCTGCTCTCAGTGAGTCACTTGGTGCTGATCACTCGGCATGCCTGCCAGTTCCCCAGCCACATGGACTGGATCGACCAATCCTTGTCTGCGGCGGAGGAGCACGTGAGCGTGCTGCGCGAGGCAGCCCTGGCTTCGGAAGCAGAGCGAGTTCCACCTGGGTCAGAAAGCTTTCTGCAGGAGCAGTCTACAATTTGAGAACAAAGGGAAGAGGGGAAGAGACGCATGTCATCAATGGCTCTGTGCTTCCTCTTCTTCTCTATTTTTCATATAGCATTGCTGATGATTTGGCATAATGACTGTTATCCTGAGGATGATAGAACCGCCATCTCGACTGTTCTAGTCTTGCATCTGGATTAGTGACCCTGCGATATTCTTGTGCCAGAGGGGGTAGAACGGGGAAGGAGGACATAATATTGTTAGTAATTTTGTCTGCAATCAGAAATATTTTGGCTATGGCATTTGTTATTTGTAGTTAAAGCTAAGAAAAAAGAAGGGACTTAAGACCACAATTGAGCCCAAAATTTCTGTTGCTAAACAAAGCAGATGTTAGGTGTTTTGCTTCATTTTATTATTTTTCTTGCCCTAATTGTTAAGCAAATCACTGCACTTGTTAAGTTAGTAACATGGTTGTTAAGTGAATCTGACTTCCCCATTGACTTTTGTTGTTGTTGTTGTTAGTTGCAAAGTCGTATCCAACCCATCGCGACCCCATGGACAACGTTCCTCCAGGCCTTCCTATCCTCTACCATCTTCTGAAATCCATTTAAGCTCATGCCTACTGCTTCAGTGACTCCATCCAGCAACCTCATTCTCTGTCATCCCCTTCTTCTATTGCCCTCAATCTTTCCCAGCATTAGGTTCTTCTCCATTGAGTCCTTCCTTCTCATTAGATGGCCAAAGTACTTGAGTTTCAACTTCAGGATCTGGCCATCTAAAGAGCAGTCATGGTTAATCTCCTCTAGGACTGACCAGTTTTACTTGTCAGACTATTGTAAAGGTGATCACATAATCACCAGAACACTGCAGCCAGTTGCAAATACATGCCAGTTGAATTTTGATCACGTGATCATGGGGATGCTGCAACAGTTGTAAGTGTGAAAAATGACCTAAATCGCTTTTTTAATATTCACTAAACAAATGGTTGTAACGGTTGTACCACAAATCATGTGGATAGTTAAGTGACAGTGGCCCACGATTACAGCATATAATCCCTGCCTTTTGGTGTCTTTGATAGCAATTCCCCAACCCATTATCATCAACAGCCTGATTCTGAAACTTTTTCCAGTTTCTGCAAAACCAATTCTATAGTTCTTTGGATTCTAACTCATGTTTTCTTTCTACATGAAAATAAAGTGTACAGTGTAAATTGGAGATTGTGGAGGAATGAAGAGCTGATTGCTTCAGTAAATTCTTGAGCAATTGCAGGTTGAACTTGAAACCATTTAGATGTATATAGAGGAAGTTTTCCCTCTCGTTCAGACTTTTGTAATAAATAGTTCTCTCCATGTATTCAATATCTTTTATTGCTAATATTAATGTATAACAAAAATCTCTTTTCTTATGAAGATAAATCTGAATATTGGCTAGCTAAGCTTTAACTAGAAAATCTATTGTTCACCAAAGTATTTTCAGACTGGGTCCTTTCCTGGTTTTCCCTTTGCACAGATTTTTGTTTACATACTCTTATACTACTCATTATCACTACCACTTTCGTGTAAATGTAATAAAAAAATTATAGCTTCAACCACTTCAGTTTGTTTGAAAAGGAAATATTTATTGACCAAATTGAATCTTCCTTGCTTCGGCTGTTCATAGTAGTCAGTGGCTTTAATGAAAGAAATATAATACATGCAATGCAGATAATGAAATCATTGTCCACTTTTGATAAGAAACTATCTTCTCTAACCTTTAACCTTCCAGATGTACTAAGCAACAACTTCCATAATTCTAAGCCCTAATTCTGCTTCACCACAAAATAATTGGTAGAATAATGGCAGCATGATCTTAATATTAACTATGTAAAATAATGCATTCCAGAGTGCATAATTGCAGAGTTCTCCCACTGAAAACATGCACAAGCTTATATTGCTTTGATATTATTTTCCTGTAAACCTTCATATACTGGATCAAGCTGTGCTTTGAATTTGCTGAGTTCACGTTTTCAGAGTTCTCTCAACATTTAGAAGAGTAATATTGAAATGTTGGTTGTTCCCATTTATAGAAACTGGCAACACTGTAAACATTTCTCTAGTTTTGAGAGCATTCATTACTTTCTCAGAAAAGACACAGAGTAGGGATCAGTATACAGTCAACAAATGTAATGTTGATATTGTTTTTTGCCAACTCAAGGATAGGACTTTAATTCAGTAGGGATCAGACCTCGATGTAACTTGTTAATGGCCATTTCAGCTTCAAAAAGAAAAATATATTTAGAATATCTTAAACATCATTGTCATTACATACATTATCATGTATATCCGAATCTAATATGTTCCTACATACGTTATATGTTCATGTTAGAAGATGTATTTTAATGAACCTGCTATAAACCAATAATAACCTCAATTCTGTTATTTTTGTTTTGAGTTGTTTTATTATACCATTCCTCTTCCCATGGAAAAAAATTAATGGCATAGTCCAGTGGTGGCGAACCTATGGCACGCATGCCAGAGACGGCACTCAGAGCCCTCTCTGTGGGCATGCACGCCATGCCCTGGAGATGGCAACTGACCTGCTTCAACCCAGCCACCCACTAACTCGCCGAGGTCCACGTGGCTGGATGCATCCCAGCACCCATGCGCTTGCTGGCCTCTGTGTGCAGGGGCGATGGTATCAGGCAGCAGCCTCCCCGGCCCCTGCCTTGCCCTGCGACAATGGCTCCCCTGCCCTGCCTTGCCTTGCCTTGCCTCACCCCGCAGGACGAGCCTCCTGCCCACTGCCCCACCTGCCAGAGACTCCCTGGATTTCCCCCAACTCTGCCCGGCCCCCACAGGTATCCCTCGCCACGAGCAACATTGAGGTGATCACGCCCACCTTGGCTACACCCACCCAGTCTGCCATGAGCACCACAGCCACGCCCACCCAGTGGGCCACGCCCATCTGGCAGCCGGCGATAAATAAGTGGGTTTTGGGTTGCAGTTTGGGCACTCGGTCTCTAAAAGGTTCGCCATCACTGGCATAGTCTAATAGCTTCCATGATGTGACATTTAGGCTGGTGAGAATATAAATGTTTGGAGGGTCACTCTTGCTGGTAAGATCAATAGAGGAAGGGTGATAGAATTATCCAAAAGTGAGAGTGAAGACAGGTGAAACTGTACAGGTATAAGCTTACCAAAACTCAAACTTTGAACAAAAGATGACATATAAGCGCTCGGTTTTTACCAAGAAAACTAGACTGTTATAACATTTAGATGAATCTGGATGTGCCTCTGAGTATTGAGGAAAATCATAATGTGCCTCTGAGTATTGAGGATGTGCCTCTGAGTATTGAGGAAAATCATAAAACTAGAATGTGCCTCTGAGTATTGAGGGAAATCATAAAACTTTCATTGCTAAAGCTTGAGGGAATGAAATGAACTGACCAAAGTTGCAAGTAAGACTAGTCATTATATGTCAATATTGTCATTCATTTTATCCTTATGTGACATGATCTCTCCCCTTCCATCTGCAATCAGACTGCCACCATGTTGCTTTTGACTCTAAAAGGCCAGGCACAGCAGCAGTGTAGTGGGGGTTCCTTCAAATTTGTATAAGATGGATAGAGTTGCATCTTTTAATATGAAGGTTCCTTTTGTAATACTCCAGCAACCTTGCACCAGCTGTGTGCAAACAGCTCCCTGCTATCTATCATTATTTGGGACATCCTGTATGGAAAAATCTTTGATCAGTACATTAAAATGGTAATTATGTAATAGAGCTAGACTATTCTGTCAGCACTATGGTGACAGCTTTCCTCCCACACTTTTAAGGGATTTTTCCACAAGGCTGAAACAATACATTGGTGGACAGATATTCCTCTCTTTACCTCCTTCAGAGGAAAGCATTCATTTCCTTTATGAAGGAAAGAAAGGAAACAGTAGGAAAATCCTAAATAAGCACACAGCTTGTAGTCTGTCTCCTTCATGAGTTTGACCTCTTTCATGATTGTGACATTGCTTTAATAATTTATTTTATGCAGCAGATGTAGTCAGAATGGAACCTAAGAGATAAGGAAGCCCTGCAATCAGACCCACCCTTAGTCCTAAATCAATGTGCTGCTTGACAAGGCTCTCTTCAGGCTTCTTATCTATTTCATGATGATAAATTGTATGCATACGGTCAAAATGGAGCCTAGGAGAAGAGAACAGACAGGAAACCAAAGGTAAAGGAACTTGTAACCAGACCTATCCTGTTCCTGAAGAAATGCCATGACTGATGGATATTTTCCCTGCTAGCTGTTGTGGGCGTTGAAGCATAGAACAATCAAACCACCACAATACAAACGGTGTGGTTTATCTTGCAGTTGCGAGGAATCACCGCTTCCTGATGGAAGCAGATGGAGCCGAATCCTTAAAAAAGAAAAGAAAAAAAAAAGGAAGAGGGCACCGGAGAAAGGTCTTTTCCCTCATGTGCTAATTATTGATATGCAATTTACCGAGAGAGCTAAGAAAGCTCAGTTCATGTATGTAAACACTGCAGGCACTAAATCGTAGCCGAGAGGAAAGATGATCTGGTTCTGTAAGTGCGATTGCTTATTTTCATTCTATAGTTCGGAGCAAAAATGTCAGGGAAACAGAAGGAACGAGAACTGCTGTCTTGAGGAATTAATTAGTTAGACTGCTTAGAAAGGAAGCCGACTGTGACATGGTAAAACTATTAGAACGGTATGTATTTCTCAGATTTACAGAGATTCTTGTTAGGGAACTTGTACACATGGTGGTTTATGTGTTATTACTAAATTCTGATCGGTGAGCATTACGGCTTGCTGTGAATGTCAAATTTTAAATATTAAAAGAAAAAAGAATTAAAGGGGGCACCCGGATTTGAACCAGGGACCTCTTGATCTGCAGTCAAATGCTCTACCACTGAGCTATACCCCCTCTTCCGTTGGTATTATTGCTACAAGTCTTTTTCAAGGAAAGGAAGTGAAACTAAATGTTCCGTTTTATAATGGAATTGGTAGGCATCCTGTTAATTAGTTCTTCGGGAACATTGTAATTCATCCAGAAATTAACATAAAGAGTTCAACGGTAGAATTTCTTGTTGCAATTTCATTATCTGCCTGAAGATCCCTTGTTTTTTTTTCAAATCACAAATACATATTGTAGGGCTTTTTGTTTAGTGACAATAGGAAAGATCCATATAATTCAGGATTTGAAACTGTATCATTTTGATCCAAAGCCCTATATTCTTTCCTTATTTTTGAGCCTACAATATATGTAGAATATATACTGAGAGAACCCAGAAGATGAGCATGATTTTAAAATTGGATGAAGAAATATAGGATTAATAATC